GTCATGTGGTTGGGTTTACAACCAATGAGAAGGCAGAACAGAAACACTATAAAAAGACAGACACACAGGAATTAGCTCTGGCTCGGAGAGGTAGGACCACTGCAGGAGGAAGGGTAAGGTTTTAGCTCTTAGCTTTGACCTTTTGGCTTTCTTCTTTGCATTGGTTCTGTTTCTTATTTAATAAGACGGTTGGTTACATCTACAACCACTGGACCCACTGCTCCACTCAGTCAGTCATTGGACCAAATGTCAGAATTCTCACAACAGACAGGGAATAATGAAACCAATATAAAGCTTAATCAATTGTTTTTCTACCTTTAATTGTCATTAATTTTTCACATGGTTTTTTTTTTTTTTTTGGTGTGTGTTGGATGAATCCACAAAAATATAATTAATAGTAGAAGTGTAAGATCCAATGTGAGGCTCCACAACTTCAGAAAGCTGCTCTAACTGTATGGAAGTTCATTAAGAGTGTCTGGCTCATTTCATGTGTGATGTTTCATATTTATAAGTACTTTACAAAAAAGTTTTAACTATAAATAAAAAATCATTTTACAATTTCTGTGAATGGATGTCTAAAAGGTTTTCTGATGGAACCTTAGTAATAAAAGGAGACATATCCTATAGTGCAAAACACTATAGAATAAATATTCAAAGAAGGAAACAATAATAATAGGAAGGTATTGCATCCCTCCACGAAGCTGCCCATTGGAGGAGCAGCTCATGTGAAGGAAGCAGCTGCCCATTGGAGGAGCAGCTCATGTGAAGGAAGCAGCTCCCATAGAGCCATTGTGGACAGTCCATTTCCACCAAGTCTAAAGGGTCAGAACCCTTTATAATAGCCACTCAAGTTTGCATCCCTATTAGATGGCAATATTTCCATCTCTTGAATTTTATACATGCATATTTTAAAAAGGGAAATATGAAACATATTTCCCACTGATAGAAACATTAAGGTTTTGTTGTTTTGCTTAAATCCAAGGACATTTTTAAAAAAAAAGTGTTTTAACACGTTTGTCAGTTAGCTGTCCAAATAATGCCTTCTCTGGAAGAGGAGTAATGGATAGAAATTAATCTACACAGGGAAAAGAATCCAGCCATTATTGCCCTAATTTATTTTGTGTAGCTGGCTTTGTTTTTCCTAGTTCCCACAGCCTGGCTGTGATGAGATTTCTCTCCCTGCTGATTGGTTTGGGGACTTTTCCTGTACCTGTCCCTGCTGATGCTAGTGCTAAGTCCCTTAGACAAGGGAGAAGAACTTCATGATGAGGGGTATCACTTTCATATTTATCCTTGGAACTGATTAGATGCTAATGGGTGTCCCATCTCAGGATGCTGAATTTATTTTTTTGCAGAGGACTCATTATTATAAATGTATGCCAGAGACTATTAAACCTTTTTGAGAGGCTGTGCATCTCATTTACCTTACAGGTAAAGTCTGTAATGTATGTTGGCCTGAAACACTATTGACATGTTATTTTTATACAAAACTGTGGTATATATTTCAGCCATCCAAGGTTTAAATAGGCACTGGCCATTTGTACTTTGGGTAGTGAATATATTGATTGACTGATTTATAGGTACAGATATTCACTTATCCTTTGCACATAAAAAAGTATCAACAGTCTTCTTTTATAGGTAGTAGACATGGCTTGAGGACCAAGAGAGGAAAATATTGCAGTTCTAAGCTCTAGTTTGGTTTTTGTTTTAAGTATAGCAGGAGCTGGAGGCAAGAATATTGATAGGTGGTCTAAGATAACATTAGGACTTGTGAAATGGACAAAATAAATAAAGCTAAAAACAACAACAAGCCAAACCTTCATAAAATTTTTATTCTGGGGTGTGCTTGTTTTCAGAAACTACCCTCTGCTAAATCTCCTGTCAGTGCTGAAACTCGAAGGAAGAAAAGCTTCTAGTCCTCCAGCCAACTGCAGTGTAGCCAGAGAAACAGGCAACCAAAATAGAACACCAGGATTGCTGTGCGTGGGTGAGGCAGAAACCACATTATGAGCAAAAGCTTCCAGTGTTATTTTAGAGCCAATACAGCTCTGCACTTCTCTGCTCTCTCTTCCAAAAACACATACTACAGAAATAAAATGAAATGAAATGTGTGTGCATTCTCCCTCTCTGGGTTAGGATTCTTCTTTTTTCTTGATTTCCTTTCTTTGGGGGTGAGATGCCAGCATGAAAACTCAGCATGGAAAGCAAGTTGAGGAAGGAAAGAGTTAATTGCTTTTAAGGCCCTGCAATAGAGAATTATGGTTTAAAAGATAGAGGCTGGACAGCTGGCTTTGCTGGGGTATTTTTAAATGCATTAATGCAGGCTCCAATCACTCGGCCATGCTTGACCTATTTTTGGCTCAGGCCGACCATTGTTCTATTTCTGTGCCTGTGGGCCATGCTGTTGTTGATTCATATGCAAATGGATTATCACTAGCTTTAGCCAACTTGAGCTGAGAGAGACTGAGACAGGGAAGGGAGAGAGGCACAGACAGATCGTAGGACACCCTCTGGAGCCACTTGCAGGATGAGGATCTCTCCTTGAAACCCTAGAAGTCCAGGGAGCTAGATGCCAGGTTTAATTGTTTTCTTTCTTTCTGCCCTCCATGGGTAGAGTTAATATTTTTCTACTTATTCTTACAAAGAAATAACCCCGAAGCACATTCCTGTTGCCCACCTGCTTTTAGTTTCCAGGATAACCTAAAACTCCAGCGAGCTACAGCATCCACTCTGCTCCTTCTGCTTTGCACACAGGTTGGTAACTGGAGGGGGAAAAGCCCAGGTCTTTTTTTTTTTAAAAGGGTATGTCCATCTGAGCAGAAAGGAAATCATTGTGGAAGTTGATCCTCCGCTTGCTTGCTGTTTCTCCTTGGGGAGGAGGGAGGACCAGTCAGGGCAGCTCCTGGGACCAGAGCACCGAGCAGTGATGAATCTTTCATGGAGCTGAAGTAAGAGTGACTGGAGTATGCTGCAGACAATTTACGAGAGTGACTCCTGTGTTTCCTCAGATGGAGTGGCCGGACGGGAGCAGCTCTTGGCTCAGCAAAGAATGCACAGTATGATCAGCTCAGGTATGATCTCTTTTATAGCTGGCATGTTTGTTTTCCTTTTGAAAAGGCTGGAGGGCAGGCTGATAGGGAAATGAAGGGAAAGCAGCTTGCTTAAGGGATTGCTTTTTCGGTGTGATGTTGATGTTTTTCTCCTTGGTGCTATTGAAAGGTTTAACTTAGATCCTTCCTTCTACCCTTCCCCTGCACGTTCTAAGTGTGTCTAGGGAAGGCTGCTTCTGAATGAAATCGCAAAGTATTGCTGATGCAAGAAGACTTAAGTAAAAGGGCAACTAGAGAAGGAGACCTGTGCTGACTGTAAACATATGCTAGTGGGACTTTAAGTTCATGGTGGGGCTTCTTCAGCCAGCCAGATGATTTTATGTTTTCAGGGTGCATACACAGCACAACTATTTATAGACCTACCTTCTGAAGTGTGTGTCTGAGGAGTTCTCAGGTAGTTTTATTCTTTCCCTAATGTGGCTTTTTCTCTCAAGCTTGAAGTAAATCTGTTTTGGATGAAATAGAATTATTTCCAGATGCTTATTTTAATTTATCCCCAAACACTTGGGAGTCTAGCATTGCCGGGCAGGTGTTGTGGCACACACACTCATGCATGTATGCATACAGCCAGAGAGAGAGAGAGAGAGAGAGAGAGAGAGAGAGAGAGAGAGA